CACAGGAGAGAGTAGGGTGCGGGAAAGAGAGCGCAACACAGAGATATATGGATAAAAAGTAGATAGAGCAGAGAGAGGGAGGGGGGAGGAGAGCGAGAGAGAGTGGGAAGAATTGGGGCACATTCCCTGTTAGTTGAAACAAGATACATTTACTTCACACAAAGGATTATGTTATGAAGTTTGGCTGGAAGCAAAGTCCCGAGAGTCCCGAGAGCAAAGGGAAGAGATCAGCGGGTGGTGCATGATCCTGATACGAGGCATACATTCGCCTCTCATACGAATTTTGCTGTTTAATTCCAGTTATTTAGATTTCTGTTGCCGATAGCCTGCAGCATTACTCCCCAGAGTAGGAAGAGGTAAATTTCGCTAATGATTATAAGGTAAACGATATAGTTTTATTCCATTTGTTACAATGGATATTCTTTGCTGTGACACCAAAATCTCCCCTGTGTGCAAGGAATGGCCGGGGTTATCATTCACTGGCCGGCGTGGGATTGAACGCAGGTCTGCAAGTTTGCTAGACGAACTCGCTAAGCGCTGATATATCCATAGACTAGCTCACCCTAGAGAAAAAAAAAAACAAATTTAAAAAAAATCTCTCGTAATATAGCCACAAACACGTAAGTCAACATCATGTCTGTTATACAATAAATATATTTTGCCAAATGCATACAAGGGTATTGATGCGTGTGTGTATGTAGGTTAGTATTTATAGGATAACGTATATAGGTACAGTATTTATGTATATGTATACACACACACATACATGTGTATTTGAATATATAATGAATATATATATGTATATATATTATATTTATATATATGTATATATATATATATATCTATATATATGTATATATATCTATATATATATATATTTTATATATATATATATATATATATATATATATATATATATATATATATATATATATATATATATATATATATATATATATATATATATATATATATATATATATATATATATATATATATATATATATATATATATATATATATATGAACATTATAACCTCTCCGATCGGGATTCGATCCCTCGCCGCCAATGCACGTGAATGCAAGACGGCCGCTCTACCACTCGTACAACGACCCACTCAAAAGGAGTGAGCAACTAGGCGCTTACTAGCATCCATAGACATTACCTACCTACTCATACATGAGTAAGGATAGCGAAGTTTCACACTCACTCCCCGTGGGCACTCGGTATTTATGGACAGAGCAGGACAAATCACAAATCAGATAACCTGAGGTGTATTCTATGAAAGATGGAATAATGCAATACCGCATTTTTTATCATGAACATTATAACCTCTCCGATCGGGATTCGATCCCTCGCCGGAGGTAATGTCTATGGATGCTAGTAAGCGCCTAGTTGCTCACTCCTTTTGAGTGGGTCGTTGTACGAGTGGTAGAGCGGCCGTCTTGCATTCACGTGCATTGGCGGCGAGGGATCGAATCCCGATCGGAGAGGTTATAATGTTCATGTTAAAAAAATGCGGTATTGCATTATTCCATCTTTCATATATATATACATACATATATTTATAGATATATATCGTATGTTTTATTTCTGCTTTTATAAAGTAAATAGTTGATTTCATCATAAATCTTTTCGATAAGTCACCGTCTATTTGCAAGAAGGAAAGCTGAGCAAGATCTTAGCACATCTTAATTTCAACTCGTATAGGGCAAGCAACCATGTGCACACGCCTCTCCTAGGGGTTCTAACCACGCCCACCTCACTTCGGCTCATTTGCACAACTGCATCTCACACACACACACATACATACAATGCTGCCCCTTCTTTCCCCAATCGCATCTCCTCTCATACTTGTTCCAATGTACCAATCGGGTGGTGGCACTGGGTTATGTACAGCCTTTAATGAACAAGGATAAGTGCTTTAATTACCAAGCACATTATGACCAACAGTATTTCACTTTCGATCACCTTTAATAAGTGACGGCACTTATATATATGTGTGCATAATATATATATATATATATATATATATATATATATATATATATATATATATATATATATATATATATATATATATTTACATATATTTACATATATATACATATATATGTATGTTTACATATATTTACATATATATGTATGTACATGGAGACTAAAATACAGGTCATAATAATAACTTTATTAAACTTGGCAAAAACTACACATTAAGAATATCATGTACAACATATATCAGAAAATTTCAGGCCAATTCTTCCACAATAATGTCAAGAGGAAGTATGTTTCTTTGGGATAAAAATGGGGCTGATTCATACTCTCATGATCCCTACAAGATATCTTTTATGGGTGAAAGTATATCTATAGACCTTCACCTTTTACATGGTTCGTGACCTCTATGTAAAATTATATATAGACCGAGAACTAGTACAAATCTCATAGCTGTTTGGCTTCTCGTTTGTATGTATTCTCATGTGTGGCACTAGCTAACAATTCTGTGAGGTTCCATTTCATACTTGCCTTCTCTTTTGTACGTAATCTCATGTGGCTCACCATAATGTGTTTCTGTGAAAATGCCATTTTGTAAAACAGCTCTATTTGTATGTACTTTCACATGTCTCACTAGATTCCTTTTGTCTGTGAAAGCCTTGTTGCAAATCTCACAGCTGTATGGCTTCTCTTTTGTATGTATTTTTGTATGTCTCACTAGAGTCATTTTCTGTTTGTAAGCCTTGTTGTAAATAACAGCTATATGGATTCTCTTTTGTATGTACTCTCATATGTCTCACTAGAGCCATTTTTCTGTTTGAAAGCCTTGTTGCAAATCTCACAGCTATATGGCCTTTCTTTTGTATGAACTCTCATATGTCTCACTAGATCATGCTTTTCTGTGAAAGCCTTGTTGCAAGTCTCACAGCTGTATGGCTTCGCTTTTGTATGTCTTTTGTATGTCTCACTAGAGTCATTTTTCTGTTTGAAAGCCTTGTTGCAATTCTCACAGCTATATGGCCTTTCGTTTGTATGTACTTTCATATGACTCACTAGATGAGACTTTACTGTGAAAGCCTTTTTGCAAATCTCACAGCTATATAGCTTCTCTTTTGTATGTATTCTTATATGCATCACTAGACCACTCTTTTCTGAGAAAGCCTTGTTGCAAATTTCACAGCAGTATGGCTTTTCTTTTGTATGTACCCTCATATGTTTCACTAAATAGTTTTTTGTCCGAAAGCCTTGTTGCAAATCTCACAGCAAATCTCCTTTGTATGTAGTTTGACATGTTTTACAAGAGAGCTTTTGTATGCGAAGGACTTCTTGCAAGTATCACATCTGAAGGGCTTCTCATTTGAATGCACTATCATGTGCCTTACTAGTCTCCCTTTCACAAAAAATGTCTTATTGCAAATATCACACATGTATGGATTCTCCTTTGTGTGGCCTCTCATGTGAACTTCGATCCCACTCCGAGAAGAGAATTTCTTGCCACACACGTCACATGCAAAACGTTTCAATGTGGCTTCCACTTGTGTTTGTATATCCTCCTCAGGATTTTCCTTGTACATCGCCTGATTCCCATCTGATGAACACTTGCTCCCACTGTCCTCAGCCAGAAATGGCGTTCCTAAGATGCCATTACCATCCTGAACCAGGTCATGCGAGTCCGTTTCATTTGCTTCATGTCTCAGTTCATGCAGATTTTGAAAGAAAAATCCTTCGGATTTCACTTTCCGGTCGCTCACTTCCTCCCCCACTTCTTCTCCGTAATCCAGTGGTTCGTCCTTAATATCCAGACATGTCTCTTCGGTGACAACATCGTTGAGCTCCTCCTTGATACCGACTCCTCTGCTACAGAGTTCCTCGTCCGTGAGTGGGGCCAAAGGCATCCAATTGACGAGGTAACTCATCGTTGCTCTGTAAAGGAAAATAAAAAATAACACACTGCATTCCTTGGGAATGGGAACAAATAAAAAATATCAGGCTGCATGGATACTACTGCTCTTGAAAAAATAATAAACCTATCAAAAATAAATCCGTTTTTTATTCTATTAAAATAACTCGAATTGCAAAAGAAAGATATCAATATAGGTATCCAAATGGGAGTAAGTAAAACTAAGGCGAACATCATTGTACTATATATATATATTCATATATATAAATGCACACACACACATATATATATGTGTGTGTGTGTATGTGTGTGAGTTCTAAGGGCTCTTTGAGCTGTAGGTACCCCGATAGACGATGTAGCGGCCAGAGCTGCGACCCATTCGGCCGCTCCAGTAACTGATATATCTTCCCTGCAGATCTTTACTTGGGGAACGGTGTAAGGGTTTTATGCAGAGTAATAACAAGGGTAATCAATAGAATATTTATCATACGAATATATATATCACTTAAATTATCTGTGTATAACATGTATATATATGTACAACATTATTATGTTATGTGTATATATATTAATTATGTGTATATATATATTGTGTATATAAATTGGTTATCATATATATTCACTTATACATATGTATACAAATAAACACGTAAACACACACACACATATATGTGTGTGTGTGTGTGGTGTGTGTTCATGTGTGTGTCCGTGTAAGGGTATATATATATATATTATATATATATATATATATATAATATATATATATATATATATATATATGTATATCTATATATACATATATATATATACATATATATCCATACATATCTAAATATATATATGCTGTATATATGTATGTATGTGGTGTGTGTGTGTGCGCGCGCGCTGTGTGTGTGTGTGTGTGTTGTGTGCATGCGTGTATGTATATATATATATATATATATATATATATATATAGTATTATTATATATGTATGTATGTATGTATATGTGAATACATATATATGTATACATGTATATATATTTGATGTATGTATATATATAATATAATATATAATATATAAATATATATATACATACACGCATGCACACACACACACACACACACACACGCGCGCGCGCCACACACACACACATACATACATATATAAGCATATATATATTAGATATGTATGGATTATATATAGTATATATTATAGATATATACATACATACATTATATATAATATATATATATATATATATTATATATATATATATATATACTATATATAAATATATACCCTTACAGGACACACACATGAACACACACACACACACACACACATATATGTGTGTGTGTGTTTACGTGTTTATTGTATACATATGTATAATATATATGATAACCAATTTATATATATACACATAATTAATATATACACATAATAATATATATACACATAACATAATAATGTTGCACATATATATACATGTTATACACAGATAATTTAAGTGATATATATATTCGTATGATAAATATTCTATTGATTACCCTTGTTATTACTCTGCATAAAACCCTTACACCGTTCCCCAAGTGAAGATCTGCAGGGAAGATATATCAGATATTGGAGCGGCCGAATGGGTCGCAGCTCTGGCCACTACTCGTCTATCGGGGTACCTACAGCTCAAAGAGCCCTTAGAGCACACACACACACACACACATATATATGTGTGTGTGTGCATTTATATATATGAATATATATATAGTACAATGATGTTCGCCTTAGTTTACTTACTCCCATTTGGATACCTATATGTTATCTTCTTTGCAATTCGAGTTTTTTAATAGAATAAAAAACGGATTTATTTTTGATAGGTTTATTATTTTTTCAAGAGCATTAGTATCCATGGAGCCTGATATTTTTTATTTGTTCCCATTCCCAAGGAATGCAGTGTGTTATTTTTTATATTTTCCTTTCACAGAGTAACGATGAGTTACCTCGTCAACTGGATGCCTTGGCCCCACTCACGGACGAGGAACTCTGCAGCAGAGGAGTCGGTATCAAGGAAGAGCTCAACGATGTTGTCACCGAAGAGACATGTCTGGATATTAAGGACGAACCACTGGATTACGGAGAAGAAGTGGGGGAGGAAGTGAGCAACCGGAAAGTGAAATCCGAAGGATTTTTCTTTCAAAATCTGCATGAACTGAGACATGAAGCAAATGAAACGACTCGCATGACCTGGTTCAGGATGGTAATGACATCTTAGGAACGCCATTCTGGCTGAGGACAGTGGGAGCAAGTGTTCATCAGATGGGAATCAGGCGATGTACAAGGAAAGTCCTGAGGGGATATATACAACAAAAGTGGAAGCCACATTGAAACGTCATGTATGTGACGTGTGTGGCAAGAAAATTCTCTTCTCGGAGAGGGTCGAAGTTCATATGAGAGGCCACAAAGGAGAATCGATACATGTGTGATATTTGCAATAAGACATTTTTTGTGAAAGGGAGACTAGTAAGGCACATGATAGTGCATTCAAATGAGAAGCCCTTCAGATGTGATACTTGCAAGAAGTCTTTCGCATACAAGACCTCTCTTATAAAACATGTCAAACTACATACGAAGGAGATTTGCTGTGAGATTTGCAGCAAGGCTTTCGGACAAAAAACTAATTTAGTGAAACATATGAGAGGTAACATACAAAAGAAAAGCCTACTGCTGTGAAATTTGCAACAAGGCTTTCTCAGAAAGAGGGTCTAGTGAGCATATAAGAATACATACAAAGAGAAGCCATATAGCTGTGAAGCAAAAAGCTTCACAGTTAAAAGTTCATCTAGTGAGTCATATGAAGTAACATACAAACGATAAGCCATATATCTGTGAGAATTATCAACAAGGCTTTTCAAACAGAAAATTGATCTCTACGTCGAGACATATAAAAAGACATACAAAAGCGAAGCCATACAGCTGTGAGACTTTGCAACAAGGCTTTCAACAGAAAAGCATGATCTTTGTGAGACATATGAGAGTTCATACAAAAGAAAAGGCCATATAGCTGTGAGATTTGCAACAAGCCTTTTCAAACAGAAAATGGCTCTAGTAAGAGACATATCAGAGTACATACAAAAGGAGAATCTCAATTAGCTGTTATTTACAACAAGGCTTACAAAACAGAAAATGGACTGTAGTGAGACATACAAAAATACATACAAAAGAGAAGAGCCATACAGCTACTGTGAGATTTGAAAAACAAGGCTTTCACAGACAAAGGAAATCTAGTGAGACATGTGAAAGTTACATTACAAAAAGAGCTGTTTTACAAAAATGGCCATTTTCACAGAAAACACATTATGGTGAGCCACATGGAGATTACGTACAAAAGAGAAGGCAAGTATGAAATGGAACCTTCACAGAAATTGTATAACCTAGTGCCACACATAGAAATACATACAAACGAGAAAGCCAACAAGCTGTGAGATTTGTTACTAGTCTCCGGTCTATATATAATTTTACATAGATGTCACGAACCATGTAAAAGGTGAAGGTCTATAAAGATATATACTTTCATCCCACTAAAGATATCTTGTAGGGATCATTATGTGTATGAATCAGCCCCATTTTTATCCCAAAGTAAAAACATACTTCTTCTTGACATTATTGTGGAAGAATTTGGCATCCTGAATTATTCTGAATAATAGTGACCTGATATACCTCTTAATGTGTAGTTTTTGCCATAGTAAAAAGGTTTTTTATGATCCGTATTTTAGTCTCCATATGACATACATATATATGTAATATATTGTTTAAACATTACATATATATGTATATATATGTAATATAGTAAATATATAATATAATAATTATAATATAATAATAATATAATTATATATATATATATATATATATATTATATATTAATATATTATATTATTGCCCACACAAATAGTGCGTTCATATTAATGAAGTTGATCGAAATGGTGAAATTACTGTTTGTGTCATAATTAGTGTACTTGGTAATTAAAAGCACTTATCCTTGTATCATTAAGGCTGATACTATTAACCTCAGTTAAGCCACACCCGTGGTACATTGGGAACAAGTATGAGAGGAGATTGCGATTGGGGAAAGAAGGTGCAGCATTGTATGCTATGTGTGTGTAATGTGTGAGATGCAGTTGTGCAAATGAGCCGATAGTGAGGTTTGGGCGTGGTTAGAACTCCTAGGAGAGGCGTGTGCACATGTTGCTTCCCTATATCGAGTTGGAAATTATGATGTATGCTTAAGATTTTGTCTAGTGCTTTCCTATCTTGCAAATTAAAACGGTGGACTTTAAATCGAAAATATTATGATGAAATTCAACTATTTACTTTATAAAAGCAGAAATAAAACATAACGATTAAATATATCTATAAATATATTATGTATATATATATTGAATTGATGGGTAATTAATGCAACAATTACGCATCAAAAAACACCACTTTTTTTAATCAATGAACATTATAACTTTCTCCTAAGATTTCGGGAATTCGATACCCTCGCCGCCATAAATGCACGTGAATGAAAGACGGCCGCTACTTACCACTCGTTACAACGGACCCACTCAAAAAGGACTGTGTAGCACTAGGCGCTTACTAGCATCCATAGACATTACCACCGGCGAGGCGATCGAATCCCGATCGGATAAAGAGGTTATAATGTTCATGATAAAAAATGCGTATTGCATTATTCCATCTTTCATAGAATGCACCTCAGGTTATCTGATTTGTGATTTGTCCTGCTCTGTCCATAAATACCGAGTGCCCACGGGGAGTGAGTGTGAAACTTCGCTATCCTTACTCATGTATGAGTAGGTAGGTAATGTCTATGGATGCTAGTAAGCGCCTAGTTGCTCACTCCTTTGAGTGGGTCGTTGTACGAGTGGTAGAGCGGCCGTCTTGCATTCACGTGCATTGGCGGCGAGGGATCGAATCCCGATCGGAGAGGTTATAATGTTCATAATATATTAT